CGGAGTGATTTTGCCGCCAAATGGCATCACGAAATACCGGTTATGGCTAGAGCCTATACGTTACTTAGTGGCATCAAATTCTTGAGATATGAATCAATAGGATATGATCGATAGGGCACAAAGCCCTCTGTTAGCTAAGGTGGATTCAAATTTGTCCCGTTAGACAAATATTCACCCCAGGTTTACAAGGTACCCTTGGAAGAAGCAACCTATGGCTGCTGACAAGGATCCTTCTGTCAGGTTGGGTCGACTACCTCCTCTGACTAAGTAGACCAGGGACCATGATGGCCCGGGACGACGGAACCATGGGATCTTGATTGGATCCATCATCTATTCCCCCACCATCCGCTTTAAGTGCAAGATGGTGCAATTTCTATTTTAAATATCAAATTTCTCAAATTCCCAAACTTCCAAACACTTCAAATACCTAAACCTATGCTGCTACTATATGTCAGATAACACGTATTCTATACGTATCTGATTGATGACTAGCCTTAATCGAAAGTTCTCTCTCGTTATCGGGAGGGGTAATTAACTATAGGGGCTTGCGCCTATAGGAAACCAGAACTCAGATCATAAAGTCCTCGCAAAATGAGGGCGAAATCTCTGGGTAGTGTCTTATCTACAATCCATCTGCATTACAAAATTTACCTCGGAATTTATCAGTTAAAACTCCCTCGCCGAATAAAAAGAAACGCGGGCGGAGGCCGGGGCCGAATTTTCGGAGCCCACAGATTTCAATCATTTAAACGAAAAATCTGCCACCTTCTTTATGTTTTCATGACCTTAATGTGTCACTTAAATATTCCTCCACAATATTGGGGGATGCTATCATAACTGCTTATTATTCCATCAATCGAATCCTTTCTCCATTACAAGACAAAACCTCGCACATCTTCATTCTTCATCCCGATCAAGCTCCTTTTCCCCTTACTCCCTACTTTGTTCATGTGTTTCTTTCGCCAAACAACCTCATTCCCTGTATTATTTGGCGCATATTTTTTGCATTTTCCTCATACTAAGAAAGGTTATCAAAGTTATGAACAACTTGCAAAACAATTGCATACTGCACTCAATGTAACTTTTTATTAGACAAGCCTCTTCTTTTCCCTCTCTTTCGCTATTGAGCCCTCCTCAACAGCACCTCCCACCACATTTTAGATCCGATTAAGCATTCACCGATCTCTAAGTCATATAACCAACATCTTCGCATTGCCCTCCAAATAGGTAAAAGACAATCTACTCATCATATTCACCCTTTATGTTATTAGATCAACAAACCATTTAGATTCAAAAATTCACCTTGTCTTCATGGTATGTTTCTATTCCAGTACATACCAAGATGCACTGTAGCATAGGTTAGGAAAACATGACAGCAATGTCGAAATAAATGTTCCTCTCAGTCGTCACGCCTAGTATCTGTTCATCCCCCATCCTAAGGGCAAACCCATTGATTATTAAATGGTATTCACTATAAAATTTCATTATGATATAACAATTGATCACTACAGGATTCAGTTAGTTGCATAAGGGTTCATGAATATATATAGGATCAACTCTTTTAACACCTTTTCCCATGTTGTTCACTTAAACTTTCCTTTGATTCTTCTATTTGCAGCCATCAATTAAGGTTAAACTATACTACAAATGGATGCTCGTAATATATTTTTTATGAACCATAAAAAGCCATTTATGTGAAACAGCCTACCAGAGTTGTTATTCAAGGGGAGAATCATATATTTCTCAAGAAGGCTATCTATAATGACCTAGCTAATATTCGTCTTGAAAGCAACACAACATATCACCTTCATCGAGCGTACTTCTATAGGATCTAATACTCATTATATTGCTGACATCTTCTTCATGGGAAATAGCCATCACAATATCTCTATCAAAAGTGCTTCATCACGAAAGATTAAGGACGACCTAAATACTTCTTTAGGATTGAGTTCATCTATAAATATGAAAATTTTCTTTCTCAAATAAAAATATGCCATTTACCTCATTGAAGAAATAGGCCTACTTAATAATATGATGCGACCAAAAAATACAGGAGACCCTATACTTCTCGATCACAAAGGACACGACGGACTTCTAAGGACGAAAACGACTAAAAACGAGAAAAGGGAAGAACAAACTCTTACATTTCAAATTAAAGAAACAAAAAGAAATTAAAAACACAAACTTGACTCGATCTCAAAGACACCCTAAAGTTGCTTCACTTAGAGAAGAAGTATACAGGTGGAGTGGCACTTGCGGAGAGACGAAACAGATTAGAAGCCCGAGAAGAAAGGTTGGAAAGAGCCCGCAGGATTTTCGGAGGGGATGAGAAAAGAAGGGTGGAAAGAGCCTGCAGGATTTCCAAGCAACCCGCAGGTTAACAGATTTTTTTTTCCAAAAATCACATCATATTCAACTAT